AACGATGGTTCTTAAGCATGGAAAACTGTTCTGCGGTACTACTGTATCCTAAGAAATACATCACTGAGACTTTCAAGAAGAGATTGGACTGCCATTTGTCAGAAATGGTGTAGGGCAGTGATGGCTAACCTTTTTCTTGTCGTGTGCCGAAAGTCCACGCACATGTGCCTGCACCCATAATGCAATGCATGTGTGACACCCCACCACCACCTGCACACGCACCGCACGCCTCTGCGCTTGATGCGTGACTCCTGCATGCACCGCCCGCCCCTCCCGCGTATGCACGGTTGGTGGAGGGCGCGCGTGCACATGCGCTGTGGGTCTGTTCCAGCCAACCTCCCATGCGCCAGCAGAAATGACTCTGCATGCCACTTCCAGCACGCATGCCATAGGTTCACTGTCACGGAAATAGCCAGGGGTGGGATTCAAATTTTTTAACAATCGATTCTGTGGGCGTGGCTTAGGTGGTGGGTATGGCTTGGTGGTCCTGTTATTGGCTGGATGTGGCCAACTCAATATCACTCACATCGAGGCACGCATCTCCTCGCCTGGCCTCTCATGACTATGGGGATGCTGCAACAATCGTAAGTGTGAAAAATGGTCATAAGTCACTTTTGTCAGTGCAATTGTAACTTTGAATGGTCACTCCACACAAGCAAAGTATCAGCAAAGGAGGGGAAAAAAACTCCAGAGAAGTTCCTGAGACAGGAAGTCTAGTTCTGCCAAGAATGTAATAAGGATTAACAGAGAGGCAGTTTCTGTAAGCAACACCAGAATGTTTCCTTCCTGCCTTCCTTACAGGATTAGGCCAGTAATTTCTTCTAACAACCGGTTCTCCGAACTGCTTAGAATGTTAACAACCGGTTCTAGCGAATAGGTACAAACTGGTAGAATCCTATCCCTGGGTGTAGGGTCTCCTGCTTAGGTGGGGGGTTGGATTAGATGACCTACAAGGTCCCTTCCAACTCTGATTATCTGTATCCTAAAAAATGGCACTGCTCCTGGCTGGCAACCTAGAACTGAGCTGTGCGTCCACCTCTAATGTCATGACCTTCTTTTTCCCCCGCAGGACCCCACCAATGGCTACTACAAGGTGCGTGCCCACGAGGAGCCCTGCTTGGGGAGCAGCTTTTCAGAATACACGCCAGCCCCCCGGCCTTTGTTCGGGCCAACGTCCCTGTACCCTTCCGCGGGGCCGGTGCAACCAAAACTCTTTGACTACACCCACCGCTACACCTTGGGCACCCCCAGTTCCCGCTCAGCCTACGACACCACCCACGAGCGGCTTTTCCCTCCAGAGAACATATACAGCGGGGCGACATACCTCACCGCTCCCTACAGCCGGGCGTTCACCAGCTACGTCAAGCCGAGCAGCTACGAGAAAGCTGAGAGCGGTTACGAGCAGTCCGACCAAGCCAGCAAGGCTTCGGGCTGCTCCCGTTTCTCCTACACTTCCTTGTCTCAGCAGTCTGACTATGGGCGCCCTGCTCAACAGCGCATGCAGACCCACGTATGACGGAGCCCCACCCCTTCCGGACTCCTTTAGTGAAGAAAAAAACGGAAGTGGACACTCACTTCGGGGGGGGGGGGGAAGCTGGTTCCAGTGGGGACAGTCTGGAGGACCTCAAATCTCTTCCTGAGGGCCCCAAACTCGCCTTGCCCACTGGGGACCTCAACAGGGGACTGGCCTGGGGAGGGGGGAGGCCACACCGGCAACCAAGATGGCCGACCTCCTGCTTGCCTTCTTCTGACCGGAACCTAGAACTGTGAAGCAATCGATAGACAGACTTTCTTTGGGTCAGGACACAAAAGCGGACCTTGGATGCGCCGTGATCCCCCCTTTGGGTCTGGACCTGACCTTATTTGGGGGGTGGGGTGACTCAGTCTGTAAGAATCCAGATTTCACATGGTGGCCAAGCTTTCATGGGAGATCAGCCATAAGTGTAGCTTACAAATCCATTGGTGATCGAGCTGCCTCAGCAGAGTGGGACTGACTGATGCGCCACCTCGGCTCCCCCTTCCCCCTTTCCTGCAGTCGCATGATTCTGGGAAATCTTTACGCATGGGCACTAGTGCTTGTATTTTCATTTTCCTGGCTCGATGCTGTGGTTTACATCCGTGTTTCTCACACCTCAGCGATGTTAAGGGGTTAATGTGTGTGGACTTCAACTCCCAGAATTCTCCCACCAGCAAAGCGGCTGGAGGAACTCTGGGAGGTGAAGTCCACAATGCCTTAAAAAGTGGCTGAGGTTAAGAAACCCTGGTTTAAATAACTCCCATCTTCCCTCTCTTTAGCAAGCAGTGGGGTGGACACCCTGGATGGATATAAAGGCAACTAAATTCTTTCCTCTTTCTTAGGTAATGGCAGTGCCATGTTTTAAGGGGAGGGAAAGGTGTGCTATTTCCAAGCACTTGCAGCACCTGAGACTCGCCAGCAGGTGGCGGTGGTGTTTAACCACGAATGCCAAGAGAAAACCTGAAAGGAACTAACAAAATAAAATCAAACTGACAGAATAAAATCTAATTTAAGGGGGGAGGGGCAGAAAAGCAGAGTATGGAAGAGAGCAAGAAGCCAGAAACGGGCAAGATCTATTGATCTTGTTTGTGCATCTATGGGGGATGGATAAAGCTGTCGGTTTTCTTTAGAGTTAAGTTATTCCTCCTTTTTCCTTTCCTTTTTGCCTTAAGTGTATTTGTATGCTCCTGTAGGGCATTTCCAAGGGGAGGACATTGTTGCTTTCGGTGTCTTCGGAACCAACGGAGTTTGGTTTACTTTTTTGTTCCTTTTTTGTTCTTCTTTTTTTGCATTTTTCAAGCCAGATCCCTGAGAGGCCATTTGGAGCCATGCCTGCTTGAGCCTGTGGTGCTTTAGAGACGAAGAGGGAGAAATGTACGGACACTTGAAATATTTATATTTAATTTTAAAAAACATGAGATAAGAGTGAGGCTGGATTATTTCTCTCTTTGTTCATTTGGTAGCACTGCAGCCAAGAAACGGCGAACACTTCAAAGGGGGTTAATTTTAGAAAATTGGAAGCTGCCTTCTGTGATGACAGACAGTACAGTCCGATGCTGTTTGTTCTCCACTTCTCCCATGTGATGTTTTACGCAGGTATCACACAATATGTCCCAATTATAGCCTAGATGGCCATAGACAGCTGACAGGTACCTCTGTGCTGTTAGAAAAGAAAGAGAAAAATGAAAATTCATTTGGATTCTTCTCCAAGAACTGAATTCTTAAATAGGTTTAGATTATATGAATTATGGAGACCGTTTTACATTTTTCCCAGCCATTTCTGATGTAGCAATAGCAATAGCACTTAGACTTATATAACACTTTACAGTGCTTTTCAGCCCTCTCTAAGCGGTTTATAGAGTCAGCCTACGGACCCCAACAATCTGGGTCCTCATTGTCCTCACTGAGCCTCAGAAGGATAGAAGGCTGAGTCAACCTTGAGCCTGGTGAGATTCGAATTGCCAAATTACAGGCAGCCGGCAGTCAGCAGAAGTAGCCTGCAGTACTGTATTCTTGCCACTGTGGCTCTTGTAAAGGGCAAAACACTTGTAGCTTCTGCTCTATCTTGGGCTTTTGGTGTTTCTGATGGTCTATTATCCATTACAGGTAGTCCTCAAGTTACAGCCACAATTGGTAGCGGAATTTGGGTCGCTAAGTGATGTGGTTGCTTTAAATGGGTCATCGTGTGTGACCGCACCCAATTTTACAAACATTTTTACCAGGGCCTTTAATGTGAACCTCATCCTAGTTAAGCAAATCACGCAGCCATTAAGCAAATATAATGGGCTTTACTTGTTTCGAAGCCAGCTGGGAAGGTTGCAGATCACGATCCCGTGACCGCCGAGGCTGCCACCATCATAAATGCAACCGTCATAACTTCCAACATGGGTTATAATAAAAACACTTTTTCTGAGACCATCATAACTTCGAACTGCCTTGGAGCAAATGGCTGCAAGTCAAGGTCTACCTGTACTTTTCAGAATCACCTTTGCAGTGCATGAGGACTAGAATCTTAACTTTTAAAACTGAAAGGCAGATCTTCTTTGGATGCTACTGTATACATTGCCCTGTTTGTTTTGCATTCTCAAACCCCCGCCCCAACCCTGAAATATGAATGGTATATATCCATGGTCTTCCACAAGAGGGCAGTCTCATGCCGCTTGAATTTTTCTTGGAACAAAAAAAACCCACATTATTTCTAACCTGTACATTTTCCTTTCGTCTGCCAAATATATATACATTGACCTTCCTTCCTGAGTGGCAGGAATTTCCTTTGGCCAGAGATCGCAGCTCCTGAGGGTCACACAGGCTTTGCATGCCTTAAGGTTTTGGCTTCAAACTCTCGTCCGTTTAAAATCGTGGAGTAGGGAGGACACCTGCACCTTAAACTCGTAGTGGCAGGTTGTGATAGATCCAAGTCCTGATGAATTGCAATGTGATGCATTTGCATATTGCTCAGCATGATGTGCCACCAACACAGTTTCTCAATTACATTGATGGCTTCTTGTTGGGAAGCGGCAGGGTACCGTGGTTTGTTCAGCAAACCAAAGGTTGAGCACATGACTTGTTAGGAAGCATATCTGGCAACAACGGTCAGAGGAATCCAGGGTCGTCTTCACTTAGAATATCTTCCAACCAATCCTGATTCTGAAAGTGGGAAATTTCAGAGCTACCACATCGGTACTTGCCACTTACAAAGGCCGTGTTTTCCCCTATTACTCGAATAGCTTCTAAAAGTGGGAAGCATGCACAGGTGGTACCTTAGTATATGTTTATCTTCCCAACATGGCTGGCTTCCTGTCTCCTTCCTATTGCAGCTCATCAAGTACTAAACAAACACCGAGTACTGGAACAATCAAGTACCAAAGTGGAAGCAGTATGCTCCGTCCCATATTTGGACAGACCAGGTTGCCCTGATTTAAAAAAAACCAATTTCTCCCCTGGTATAGCTGACAATGCTAGGAGAGCCTGCGGCTTAGAGGTTAATACATTTACCTAATATGGAAGCAGCCCAGGTTCGAGTCCCAGAAGGGTATGGCTAGCTGATAAGAGCTAAATAGCTTGAAATAGATCTATACTAGTCTTCCTTTATTTCTTGGTCGGTAAATATAAATTTAACACAAATATAGTTTGTTGCGAAAGCAACTGCCTGTGATGGCTCCTGGATTGGGGCTGAAAGGTGAAAGCAGAAGCCCCATATTTAGGCTGACCAGGATGATTAAAAAAAAAATTAAAGTACCAAATTGGGCAAGTTTTGAAGCGGTCGAGTACCGAGGTATCACTGTACTACTACAACTTTCATTGTCATAACCTTTTAACTGGTCAAAACTTTCTCATAGGGAACTATTTTTGTAACAACATACCTGAAAAGGGCTAACATAAAGAATGTGTCCAAAATCCAGGATTCCCAAGGGAATGACATTTGAGAATGTTATGGTTGATTCAATAGTAGTGCTACCAACAGACCTGCTGGACTGCTACTGCATTCACATAATCTTAATTTTCAATGTTCCATGACAGTTTCCCAGCCAGTCTAGCAATCCCTTGCTGCCTCCCTAGCCAACAGCAGCCACTTACCTATCTGCTGGAAAGAGGAGGGGAGGGAGGGAGGGAGGAAGCAAGGAAAGTTTCCAAGGCTCCCTGCCAGATTCCTACAAGTAAGCTTAATGGGAAAGCTGGCAGGAAGTTGGAAGTCAGTTCTGCTCCCGCTGCTTTTTTGGGCGACCTTGGTCATTTTCTTTCTCTGTTTGAATAAGGAAATGCCTCTGAAACAATGATCCATTGGGGCATGGGTTATCTAATCTCATTTAAAGGTTATGTCATTCCTGAGTTTCCTCATTTTTGGAGAAAGGTGGAGCTTTGTGATGTTTTTAGATGTTTTAGGACTTCAGTTCCCAAAATTCCAAGCCAAGAATTCTGGGAAGTGAATTCTTAGTACATCCGGACAACACCCTTAATATATGAGGCAGACAATGTTTTTTTCTATTATATACCAGGAAAGCAAAATAAATTATATCATTCAGCAATATACATTGCTACATGGTTTGTATTCTTCTTAGGACCTCTCAGTACATGTGCGCATATTTCACAGCAATTATGATGTGCTACTGCTTTTAATAGCAGATGGGGCTGATGTCACACTATCTTAATGCCTGGGGGAAAAAACAGAAGGGAGAATGAGGTATTGCTGACTCTCTCTGCTTCTCACCAGCATAATCAGCCACGCTTAAATGATCTAAATGGCTTCATTGTGATCTTGTTATTGTTGTTGTTAGCCAAATATATTATTTTTCATCACGGCTGCCTACCAAGAGCTTGTGAATGCTTCCCATGATGCCTTTGGGGACAAAGACATAAATGACAATGGGTTGCCACACACAAAGGGACAGTTGATTTTCAGTCTCATTTCAAATCTCTTTGCAAGTCCTCAATTCGGAGAGCAAGTTAATTCTGAGGTGTGAGTTGAAGGGCAGAAGAAAGAGAATCAAAGGGAGGAAGGA